CAAGGTGGGAGCCCCTGGTGTGTGGGAGGAACAAAAAGCCTGGAGAGGGAGGGCGGCAAGCGCGGCGGCTGGCGGAGAAGTGCGCACAGGCACCTATGGGTGGGGGGGGGGGGGGGGGGGGGGGGGGGGGGAGGGGAGAGGAGATGAGGAGGGGCCCATGCTTTCTGCAAGTTTGGGGAGAAGCAGGATTGCAAGAGAAAATGGGGAGTTTTTGTTTCAGAGATGACACAGAAGAGACGCTTTTTAGACATCCCAGGGGCAGCGGCGGGCAGTTCGCGGCGTCTGTTCCTCGGGAGAGAGACAGAAATAGGCGTCACCAATGTATGGATGGTGTTTGGAGCCCCAGGACTGCAGGAGCCTGCCTAGGGAGAGTGCAGCCGCCCAGAATATGCACCCCCCGGCCCTGGGGAAGGGGTGGCCCTCTCCACCAGGCTCTGGCCAATTCCAGGTGCTCCTTTTCCCGTATTTTGGCATTTTCCCATTGGCCACGGGAGGCCTTCCCCACCTGTGACGTTCTTAGATGGACGGCAGGGGGCTACCCAGAAGCCTTCGGTTCAAGAGGCATCCCTGAAGAACTGGGTAAACCTACTAACTGCCACCCAGGCCTCCCTGTCTTCCCTTGTATAATGAAGTCACTGGGAGGAAATCACCTCCCTGCCCACTCCCAAAGCCTAGAATTAGTCTCCCTGAGCCCTGGGCCCCAGGCAGCAACCCCCTCTGGGCAGGCCAAGGAGCCCAGCAGGGCCGGTGTGGACCCTCGAGCCGTGTCTGCTGTGTCCTCCCTGTGGGCTGCCCTGCCTGCGTGTGTCCATTCCCTGCTTTGATTCCTTCTCTCCTCCAGTTACGGCCAGGCCTCCCCCAGGGCAAGGGAGCCTCCCAGCACCCTTCACTGAACTGTTACTCAGGCCCTGCACCCTCTGCCCACTCCCCCCAACCCACCCGGGTCAAATCTTCAGATTTTTAAAAGGGAAATCTGAAATCTGGACTACATTTTTACTGAAATCGCCTGATTTTTAAATCCTGGAAGTAATTTAGGTCTTAGTAAAACACCAGGCGAAACAGGCAGGGTGCAGGCAGAGGGTCTCAGAAGCCGGCTCTGAGGATCAACCAGCTTCCTGAGGGAGCTGCACTGGACAGACCGGCCCTTCGTTCTTGAAACTCTCTCCTCCTCGGCTTCCAGGACACCAGGACACCGTCCCTTCCCCTCTGACCGTTCTGTCTCCAATGGGCAGCCTCCCTCTCCGGCCGGCCCCACGTCCTTCCTTCCCCTCTGATGACCCGGGGAGACAGCCCTCACCCCGCCTGCTGCTGCAACCAGCTCCAGATTCACATTTCTAGCGACCTGGCCCCCTCCACGGCGATGGCTGGGCAGGTTTCAGTCGGGGGTCCTTCGGGGCTATCACCCTCTGCTCTCCCTTTGGCCTTTCAGAGACCCAAGCTGAAGCCCCTCGTGCCAGTTGCCCGGGGGCCCTGGGCCAGCTCTCTCGTGGGCGCCCCTGCTTCCACTCGACCTCAGTGCGCCCTGGTCCTCCTGGGAGGGCCGCCACGCCCATCCCCAGCACACCCACCCTCTGCTCACTCCCAGGGCTTCTGCTCCCAGGCAGACAGACCCCTCGGGGGCACGGGGTCTACACCTCGCTGCTTCTCACCCTGCACACACCCTGCATCTTTGGAACCCGAGGTCTTTGCTCAAGCCATGCAGTATCTGCAAGCGCCTTGCCACTGCTTCCCATTCCTCCCAAGGCTCAGCTCTCACAGACCCGTGTGTCCCCCCACCCACCCCCGACCACGTTAGGAACTTCGGATGGTCTTTCGTCACCTGTGCTGGGCTCGCTAAGCGGCCCTCCTCCCTGGGAGAGGGGCTTGGCCTTCTCTGCAGGAGCCCGGGATGAGATCCACCTTCCCTCTCCTACGGGCTGTACTCTGTCCCCTTTTGTGGCTCAAGCCCCTGACCCCCACAAACACCCCACCAGCCTCAATTTCCTTCTCCCCTGGGGCTTATTCCCCAGCTTGTCGGAAAGCAAATGGGGGCCGGACAAGCGCTGTGACAGGGGGAAGCACAGGCCGCTCAGGGGACCTACTGGGTCAGAAGGCCCGAAACGCACCCCGCTTTTTTGGCTTTCACGGCCTGCAGCTCTCCTCACCCCTGGAGCTCCAGTCCAACCGCCCCCCCCCTCCTCCATACTCGGGCCTCAGGGAACTGTTTATCCTGCCGTGGCCGTGGCCGTGGCCGCAGGATCCGGGCCTAAATCACTCACCCCAAAGGGATCCGCCCTCTTCCCGGAGCGTCTCCCCGTGGCCTCAGCTCCCCAAGTGGGGGCTCCTTTGGCTTCGAGAAAGATGGTGCAGCGCCTCCTCCGCACCCTCAATACTGGACCCAGCGATAGGGCCACCAGATTTGCACAAGCCTCCGCGTGGTACCCGGAGAGGGAGCCCCCGCTCTCAACTGCGCTCCCCACACGGGAGGGGGAGGGGTGTGGCCCGGAACGAGGAGCAACTCCCCTCCCCCATCCTCTCCGGGAAACCGTCCGGGGTCCGCGGCCTTCCCCTCTCTCCCGGCCGGAGCCGCCATTTGGCCTCGGGGGCAATGATGGAGGCTGCTCACCCACCATAAAATGGGGCACTTGTAGCATCTGCGGCGGGGGCGGGGGGGACAGCGGCTAGGAAATGTCCCCACAGAAGCACCTGCGGTCTTCTCCGCCGCCTCCCGCGTCCTGCCCAGGCCCCCGAGGCGTAAGGAGACCCCGGGCGCGCAGGGGAGGGCGCCAGCATCCGCTCCCCTCTTGCACTCTGGCGGAGACCCCCCTCAAAGCCGTCCCGGCTCCCTCCACACTGCCCTAGCCGACCGCGTGAGGGCGTGCCCTGTGTTAGTTCGGACAAATTAAAGCACGTCTAGCGGGCAAGCCAGGGACCCCCGGACGCGGTCTGGGCCTGGGGGCCCGTGGACCACTCTTGGCTGACTGCCGCCGAGCTCCGGGCCGCGGGACCTCCCCGGGGGCCCGCGCTATTCGGCCCTAAACGGGGTGCCCCCCTCCTCTCGCGCTCCCGCAGCCTAGGGTGCGCCCCTCCGTTCCCCTCTGCCGAGCCCTCCCTGGGCGCGGGCCGCCTCTCCGCCACGCCGCAGGCTCGGGCCCCGTCCGGGGCGCACGGCGGAGAGCGCGGCGGCGCCGGGGAGGCGCGGTCTGGGAAGCCAGCGGCCGGGGAAGGGGCTCCAAGAAGCACAAGTTGGCGCTGGCCCCGGACCAGGCTGTTGTTGTTCTCAACGTGGTCCGCCGTAGAGCCATAAAAGCGGAGCGAGGCGCCCTCCTCGCCAGAGCGCACCGCGCACGCCCAACGAGCTCCGGCGGAGGCGGCGACGCTCGCGAGGCCGACTAAACCCGCTCCGAGACGGTCCCCGCTCCGGCCCCCTCGCGTCGGACTCCTGCGCTCCGGCCGACCCCGCGCCGGCCCCGGCTCGGG